TGTAGTGAGTGACCGGCTTGGCTGTAGTGAGTGACCGGTTTGGCCCAGGGAGTATCTGTAGTGAGTGACCGGTTTGGCCCAGGGAGTGTCTGTAGTGAGTGACCGGCTTGGCCCAGGGAGTATCTGTAGTGAGTGACCGGTTTGGCCCAGGGAGTGTCTGTAGTGAGTGACCGGCTTGGCCCAGGGTGTATTGTAGTGAGTGACCGGCTTGGCCCAGGGAGTGTCTGTAGTGAGTGACCGGCTTGGCCCAGGGTGTTTGTAGTGAGTGACCGGCTTGGTCCAGGGAGTGTGTGGTGAGTGACCGGCTTGGCCCAGGGAGTGTGAGTGTTGAGTGACCAGCTTGGCCCAGGGAGTGTGTGTAGTGAGTGACCGTCTGGGCTCAGGGAGACGCCACGACGAAGATCATCTTGTGCAGGAATGATAAGGATGAACACTTTATCCCTGATTCTAGTACTGTTTCAAGCGCGGGTTGGACAAGTATATGAGTGGGATTGGGTGGTTATAGATAGGAGCTGCCTCGTATGGGCCAATAGGCCTTCTGCAGTTACCTTTGTTCTTATGTAGTGTGAATCTCCCAATAGTTCTGTTGACCCTTGATATGGCATTATAATTTATTATTAATTATTATTATTATTATTATTATTATTATTATTATTATTATTATTATTACTGTTTAATATTCCGTTTAATATATTAACTCTTTCTATATGTTTTATCGTAAGAAATGCGAAATTCGTTTCCAGCTCACGACAGACTGATAGGTGGTGAGAAATTCACAGATGAAATAGCTCAGTATCAATTAGGCCAAACGCGCGCGAACACACACACACACACACACACACACACACACACACACACACACACACACACACACACACACACACACACAGAATCAAAGTATGAAAATGACAAACTGTTAAGGGCAAAAAGAGATCAGAAGGCAATTGACTAGGCGTACAGGCTACACCAATCAGGTTAACGACACAGAAAATGACAGGGAAGTGAGCGTTATACTCAAGAAAAGCTTTCGGGAAGTTTTCAAGATTGAAGTGGAACTATCAACACGTCCAAGTGGGACTGTGCTAACAGGACTTGCAACACGGGTGAGGCAGAAGATTAAGAAAGTAGGGGAGCTATCTTGAGGTTATCTTTCGAGATGATTTCGGGGTTTTTAGTGTCCCCGCGGCCCGGTCCTCGACCAGGCCTCCACCCCCAGGAAGCAGCCCGTGACAGCTGACTAACACCCAGGTACCTATTTTACTGCTAGGTAACAGGGGCATAGGGTGAAACAAACTCTGCCCATGGTTTCTCGCCGGAGCCCGGGATCGAACCCGGGACCACAGGATCACAAGTCCAGCGTGCTGTCCGCTCGGCCGACCGGCTCCGTCGAGAGGGACCACCAAGGGGGAAGATGCAAGAGGAATGGTCCAGGACGGACCGAAACATCGTCGTTTCTTCCTCTTCTGGTGTGTGGTTCGGTCCTTAACTATCATGTATTCCCTGAACATTACCAGAGAGGATTATCAGGAGATAAGTAAGTCCTCAAGAGGGTGGGAAACTTGTCTCCAAACATGAGCCTGGCTTCAGAGAAGGCGAATCTGTCTTGACGAGCATTTTCGAGCTGCATGATACAGCCAGAGTGAAAAAAGTAAGAAAGGCAAGAATGGGCAGAGTGTCTCTGCCTGAAATATCAGTATTTGCCATAAGATTGCCCAATGGTTTTAGAGAGTACCTCTGTGTTATCAAGCAGAGGGTCATGGTGAGAGGAGAGACGTCAGAGTAGAAGGAAGTCACAGGTGATGTACCACAGGGGTCAGTACTATGACTACTGTGGCACCACAGGGGTCAGTACTATGACTACTGTGGCACCACAGGGGTCAGTACTATGACCCCTGTGGCACCACAGGGGTCAGTACTATGACTACTGTGGCACCACAGGGGTCAGCACTATGACAGCTGTGGCACCACAGGGGTCAGTACTATGACAACTGTGGCACCACAGGGGTCAGTACTATGACAGCTGTGGCACCACAGGGGTCAGTACTATGACTACTGTGGCACCACAGGGGTCAGTATTATGACTACTGTGGCACCACAGGGGTCAGTATTATGACTGCTGTGGCACCACAGGGGTCAGTACTATGACTACTGTGGCACCACAGGGGTCAGTACTATGACTACTGTGGCACCACAGGGGTCAGTACTATGACTACTGTGGCACCACAGGGGTCAGCACTATGACTACTGTGGCACCACAGGGGTCAGTACTATGACTACTGTGGCACCACAGGGGTCAGTACTATGACTACTGTGGCACCACAGGGGTCAGTACTATGACTGCTGTGGCACCACAGGGGTCAGTACTATGACTGCTGTGGCACCACAGGGGTCAGCACTATGACCCCTGTGGCACCACAGGGGTCAGTACTATGACCCCTGTGGCACCACAGGGGTCAGTACTATGACTGCTGTGGCACCACAGGGGTCAGTACTATGACCCCTGTGGCACCACAGGGGTCAGCACTATGACAGCTGTGGCACCACAGGGGTCAGCACTATGACCCCTGTGGCACCACAGGGGTCAGCACTATGACAGCTGTGGCACCACAGGGGTCAGCACTATGACCCCTGTGGCACCACAGGGGTCAGCACTATGACAGCTGTGGCACCACAGGGGTCAGTACTATGACCCCTGTGGCACCACAGGGGTCAGCACTATGACAGCTGTGGCACCACAGGGGTCAGCACTATGACAGCTGTGGTACCACAGGGGTCAGTACTATGACCCCTGTGGCACCACAGGGGTCAGCACTATGACCCCTGTGGCACCACAGGGGTCAGTACTATGACTGCTGTGGCACCACAGGGGTCAGCACTATGACTGCTGTGGCACCACAGGGGTCAGTACTATGACTGCTGTGGCACCACAGGGGTCAGCACTATGACAGCTGTGGCACCACAGGGGTCAGCACTATGACTGCTGTGGCACCACAGGGGTCAGCACTATGACGGCTGTGGCACCAACATCATATATCTATATGATGTTGCTGCCTATATACCTATATGATGTTCTATACCTATATGATATACCTATATACCTATATGATGTCCTATACCTATATGATATACCTATATACCTATATGATGTTCTTTCTAAACATTTGCCGATGATGAAATGTGAATAAAGAATCATAACACGTGACTGTAAACATACGGAAGATGACCTCGACAACCTTCAAGGATGGTCGGGAAAATGGTTACTCGACTTTAACCCAGATATATGCAAGGTCATGAGGACTAGAGAGAGAGCAAGAAGACCCAAGGAGCGTGCCATGAAGCCATGTGCCATGAAGGGGGAGCCGGTCGGCCGAGCGGACAGCACACTGGACTTGTGATCCTGTGGTCCTGGGTTCGATCCCAGGCACCGGCGAGAAACAATGGGCAAAGTTTCTTTCACCCTATGCCCCTGTTACCTAGCAGTAAAATAGGTATCTGGGTGTTAGTCAGCTGTCACGGGCTGCTTCCTGGGAGTGGAGGCCTGGTCGAGGACCGGGCCGCGGGGACACTAAAGCCCCGAAATCATCTCAAGATAACTCAAGATAACTCAAGGGGGTGACGACGTCCCGAAACAACACCCACTTGGGCTGAACGGTAGAGGGACAGTCTCGCTTCATGTGGTGAGGTCCCTCATGCCGCCTCTTGCCTCCGACCTGTATTACACAAGTATAAAACAAAACTTGAAAAAAGGCCGGAACTATGCCGCGAAGATCAGGCCAGCACTACGAGGCATAAACTATGAGGAGAGACAAAAGGTTCAGGAGTCTCGCCGCACCTGAAACGAGACGGAATCGCGGAACATGATAGCGACGTAAAAGATCTCAAGGAAAATCGATAAGATTGATAATGATGGACTAATCAGTTTCCGAGAGGATTGTACCAATTAAGACCCCCGAGAACTAGGCATATAGACGAGCCTTAGAAAAAATCTTGTGATCGAAGTAGTAGCGAGCAAATTATATGGGAAAGCAAGAGAGAGAGAGAGAGAGAGAGAGAGAGAGAGAGAGAGAGAGAGAGAGAGAGAGAGAGAGAGAGAGAGAGAGAGAGAGAGAGAGAGAGAGAGAGAGAGAGAGAGAGAGAGAGAGAGAGAGAGAGAGAGAGAGAGAGAGAGAGAGAGAGAGAGAGACAGACAGACAGACAGACAGACAGACAGACAGAGACAGAGAGACAGAGTGAGAGAGAGAGTGTTAGAAATGTCTAACTCCCTACAACCAGCACTTACGACCACCAGACAGCTATAACACTCACCCCCTACCCTCCCTATCCCCCTTGCAAGCACATTTAGGCAAATGCATCTAGACAAGTCCCCCCCCCACCCCCCACCCCAAGTTAAGCTCACCACCCCCCCCCCCCATCCCCCCATCGCGCGCCCAGATGTTTCAGTGTTTTCCTGCTCAGATCCCACACCCATCCGGAGGACAGCAGGGTATTTACCCATTATCGATTTCTGCGTTTGCCCACCATCGATTTCCGCGTTATGGCCTGTTACCATTATGGGGATTCGCTGCCCCATGAAATAATGAAGTAGACACAGTTACTATGAGTAGGGGTGCCGAGGGGAGAGATCTGAGGGGTGGGGAGAAGGGAGGTAAGGGTAGGGTAGGGGAATGAGGGGAGAGAGTTTGGAAGACATATCAGGGGCTATATAGTGTTATGTGAGGGTTCGAGGCAGAGCTGACTGGGAAGTGCTTGTGAAGGGAAGTGATATGAGTCAAGGAGGGTGGTGAATGAGGAAGTGATGAGGGAGGCGGTGCTGAATGAGTGAGTGAGTGAGTGAGTGAGTGAGTGAGTGAGTGAGTGAGTGAGTGAGTGAGTGAGTGAGTGAGTGAGTGAGTGAGTGAGTGAGTGAGTGAGAGGTGAAGCACCCGACCCACACTCACTATAGTGAGAGCTGCAACGAGACCCGTACCTGGCAGGACACGCTCATCCAGATCTATTGTTTGCTACTGAGCTCCCTGAGGTCCCTGAGAGCCCTGAGGTTCCTGAGGTCCCTGAGCTCCCCGAGGTCCCCGAGCTCCCCGAGGTCCCCGAGCTCCCTGAGGTCCCCGAGCTCCCTGAGGTCCCCGAGCTCCCTGAGGTCCCCGAGCTCCCTGAGGTCCCCGAGCTCCCTGAGGTCCCCGAGCTCCCTGAGGTCCCTGAGCTCCCTGAGGTCCCTGAGCTTCCTGAGGTCCCTGAGCTCCCCGAGGTCCCCGATCTCCCTGAGGTCCCCGAGCTCCCTGAGCTCCCTGAGGTCCATGAGCTCCCTGAGGTCCATGAGATCCCTGAGCTCCCTGAGGTCCCCGATCTCCATGAGGTCCCCGAGCTCCCTGAGGTCCCTGAGGTCCCTGAGGTCCCTGAGCTCCCCGAGGTCCCCGATCTCCCTGAGGTCCCTGAGCTCCCCGAGGTCCCCGAGCTCCCTGAGCTCCCTGAGGTCCCTGAGGTCCCTGAGCTCCCCGAGGTCCCCGATCTCCATGAGGTCCTCGAGCTCCCTGAGCTCCCTGAGCTCCCCGAGGTCCTCGATCTCCATGAGGTCCCCGAGCTCCCTGAGGTCCCCGATCTCCCTGAGCTCCCTGAGGTCCATGAGCTCCCTGAGGTCCCCGATCTCCATGAGGTCCCCGAGCTCCCTGAGGTCCCCGATCTCCCTGAGCTCCCTGAGGTATATGAGCTCCCCGAGGTCCCCGATCTCCATGAGGTCCCCTAGCTCCCTGAGGTCCATGAGGTCCCTGAGCTCCCTGAGGTCCCTGAGATCCCTGAGCTCCCCGAGGTCCCCGATCTCCATGAGGTCCATGAACTCCCTGAGGTCCCTGAGGTCCCTGAGCTCCCCGAGGTCCCCGATCTCCCTGAGGTCCCCGAGCTCCCTGAGCTCCCTGAGGTCCATGAGCTCCCCGAGGTCCCCGAGCTCCCTGAGCTCCCTGAGGTCCATGAGCTCCCTGAGGTCCCCGAGCTCCCTGAGGTCCATGAGCTTCCTGAGGTCCCCGAGCTCCCTGAGGTCCCCGAGCTCCCTGAGCTTCCTGAGGTCCCCGAGCTCCCTGAGCTCCCTGAGGTCCCCGATCTCCATGAGGTCCCCGAGCTCCTTGAGCTCCCCGAGGTCCCCGATCTCCATGAGGTCCCCGAGCTCCTTGAGGTCCCCGAGCTCCCTGAGGTCCCTGAGCTCCCCGAGGTCCCTGAAGTCCCTGAGCTCCCTGAGGTCCATGAGCTCCCTGAGGTCCATGAGGTCCATGAGCTCCCTGAGCTCCCTGAGGTCCCCGAGCTCCCTGAGGTCCCCGAGCTCCCTGAGGTCCCCGAGCTCCCTGAGGTCCCCGAGCTTCCTGAGGTCCCCGAGCTTCCTGAGGTCCCTGAGCTCCCTGAGGTCCATGAGCTCCCCGAGGTCCCCGATCTCCATTAGGTCCTCGAGCTCCCTGAGGTCCCCGAGGTCCCCGAGCTCCCTGAGCTCCCCGAGGTCCCTGAAGTCCCTGAGCTCCCTGAGGTCCCTGAGCTCCCCGAGGTCCCTGAAGTCCCTGAGCTCCCTGAGGTCCATGAGCTCCCTGAGGTCCCCGAGGTCCCCGATCTCCATGAGCTCCCCGAGCTCCCTGAGGTCCCCGAGCTCCCTGAGGTCCCCGAGCTCCCTGAGGTCCCCGAGCTCCCTAAGGTCCCCGAGCTCCCTGAGGTCCCCGAGCTCCCTAAGGTCCCCGAGGTCCCCGAGCTCTCTAATGATTCTCTGCACCAGTCACAAGTGACTACTACGGCTACTAATATTACTACTACTACTACTACTACTACTACTACTAATAATAATAATAATAATAATAATAATAATAATAATAATAATAATTCTCTTGTTACGTTGAAGGAATTAAACATTCTTTACGCATCAATTAGGTTAATCCAATTATTTACTTGTAAGATTAAGCTTTTTTTTTTTTTGGCGAGTGTGCACTGATGCGGGACACTCCGGATCTCACTCCCACGTGGAGCTCAGGTTTTTCTCAAGCTCCTCATAATGTTGAGTCACACTTTTAAGGAAGTAATTCCAGCATTTGCGATGTATTTAGTTTAGCTTTAATATTTCTCTCTATGTCTTATACTCTTATTAGTATAAGACATATATATATATATATATATATATATATATATATATATATATATATATATATATATATATATATATATATATATATATATATATATATTAGTATATTTTGGTAGCAGTCTTTCCTGTAGACATATATTATTAAATATGACCGAAAAAGTAAGATTAATAATTCTAACACGAATTTTCTCAATCTTTCGTACATTACGCTTCACTGTTGGAGGTAAATCAAAAATCACTTCTCCAAAATTCATTTTTATTTCTAGTCTGACGCGACACGGGCGCGTTTCGTAAAACTTATTACATTTTCAAAGACTTCACAAATACACAACTGATTAGAACGTATCTCTGATTTTATATCTACATTTGAGTGAGGTGGGAAGGGTGATGTGGCATTAACACAAGACAGAACAGGAGGGGATATTAATAGGGTATTAAAAGTATCAACACAAGACAGAACAGAAACAATGGGTATTGAATAGAAGTGTTTGTAGAAAGCCTATTGGTCCATATTTCTTGATGCTTCTATATATAGAAGCATCAAGAAATATGGACCAATAGGCTTTCTACAAACACTTCTATTCAATACCCATTGTTTCTGTTCTGTCTTGTGTTGATACTTTTAATACCCTATTAATATCCCCTCCTGTTCTGTCTTGTGTTAATGCCACATCACCCTTCCCACCTCACTCAAATGTAGATATAAAATCAGAGATACGTTCTAATCAGTTGTGTATTTGTGAAGTCTTTGAAAATGTAATAAGTTTTACGAAACGCGCCCGTGTCGCGTCAGACTAGAAATAAAAATGAATTTTGGAGAAGTGATTTTTGATTTACCTCCAACAGTGAAGCGTAATGTACGAAAGATTGAGAAAATTCGTGTTAGAATTATTAATCTTACTTTTTCGGTCATATTTAATAATATATATATATATATATATATATATATATATATATATATATATATATATATATATATATATATATATATATATATATATATATATATGTATGGCATAATTTTTATGATAATAATAATAATTTCACAATATCTACAGTAATAAGCTTATGGATTAAATATATAAAAAGCGGCCTCTTCGCACTTCATAGGATATTAATTAATGCTATATTATGTAAGATGAATATGATCTCTTGTATATTGTATTATGGCATTATCAGATTAGTGTAGTATATGTAGTGTAGTAGTGTTTGTAGAGAGAGAGAGAGAGAGAGAGAGAGAGAGAGAGAGAGAGAGAGAGAGAGAGAGAGAGAGAGAGAGAGAGAGAGAGAGAGAGAGAGAGAGAGAGAGCGAGGATAAGGATAAAGGACAAATTATCCTATACATAAGGACAATACTCCTTCCTCTCTGAAGAGGCAGCTCTCCCCACTACTCTAGCGGTCAATAGAAAACGTGTCTACTTGATCACTAACTCGTGCATATGTGTAGTTTCGGTTTGGAAGGTTGAACAGTAGCCATTAATTTCAATATCTTTGTCATATATCATACCGGGGTCCGCAGCCATCATACCCCGTGTGTAGCTACTGCTAACGGGGCTTAATCGCCGTTGTTTCGTTACCATGCGTTTTGGTGTTGAATCACAGAGTATATACACTATGGTTAGCATAGTAAATGTGTGGCCACGTCTGTGGTAGAAAATGGTAATAATAATAAAAATTTATCCAAAAAAAAGGGCAGAAAGATTAGTTAGTTTTACTTTATATATCAAAGTAAAGCAAGTAACTTTATGGCGGGAACGTTAAGTGAAAACTATCCGTTGTAAACAACAGATAGTTTCTGTGTTTTTAAATACATATGTGTTTAGAAAACACATATGGAGTCTAAACCTATATGTCCCGAGTCCTTAATCTCTGCCCTTAATCTTTGGTTGATATAGCTGAAAACAATCTTCAAGATTTGGACTTGTCTCTCATGCAATATACGTAATTCATTATTTTTTTTATCGTTTCATATTTCTCTGTTTTAATTTTTTTTATTTCTTGTTTCTATGAGATGTTGTTCTTTTATAGAGACTTCGCCATTCTTAATTGGTTTGTGTTTTGCCTTTTTTTCCCGATAAGGAAAAAAGAGCTTTTATAAGGCTTTTTATAAAGTCTTATAAAAGCCGATAAGGCTTTTTATAAAGTCTTATAAAAGCCGATAAGGCTTTTTATAAAGTCTTATAAAAGCCGATAAGGCTTTTTATAAAGTCTTATAAAAGCCGATAAGGCTTTTTATAAAGTCTTATAAAAGCCGATAAGGCTTTTTATAAAGTCTTATAAAAGCCGATAAGGCTTTTTATAAAGTCTTATAAAAGCCGATAAGGCTTTTTATAAAGTCTTATAAAAGCCGATAAGGCTTTTTATAAAGTCTTATAAAAGCCGATAAGGCTTTTTATAAAGTCTTATAAAAGCCGATAAGGCTTTTTATAAAGTCTTATAAAAGCCGATAAGGCTTTTTATAAAGTCTTATAAAAGCCGATAAGGCTTTTTATAAAGTCTTATAAAAGCCGATAAGGCTTTTTATAAAGTCTTATAAAAGCCGATAAGGCTTTTTATAAAGTCTTATAAAAGCCGATAAGGCTTTTTATAAAGTCTTATAAAAGCCGATAAGGCTTTTTATAAAGTCTTATAAAAGCCGATAAGGCTTTTTATAAAGTCTTATAAAAGCCGATAAGGCTTTTTATAAAGTCTTATAAAAGCCGATAAGGCTTTTTATAAAGTCTTATAAAAGCCGATAAGGTTTTTATAAAGTCTTATAAAAGCCGATAAGGTTTTTTACAAAGTCTTATAAAAGCCGATAAGGCTTTTTATAAAGTCTTATAAAAGCCGATAAGGCTTTTTACAAAGTCTTATAAAAGCCGATAAGGCTTTTTACAAAGTCTTATAAAAGCCGATAAGGCTTTTTACAAAGTCTTATAAAAGCCGATAAGGCTTTTTATAAAGTCTTATAAAAGCCGATAAGGCTTTTTATAAAGTCTTATAAAAGCCGATAAGGCTTTTTACAAAGTCTTATAAAAGCCGATAAGGCTTTTTATAAAGTCTTATAAAAGCCGATAAGGCTTTTTATAAAGTCTTATAAAAGCCGATAAGGCTTTTTATAAAGTCTTATAAAAGCCGATAAGGCTTTTTATAAAGTCTTATAAAAGCCGATAAGGCTTTTTATAAAGTCTTATAAAAGCCGATAAGGCTTTTTACAAAGTCTTATAAAAGCCGATAAGGCTTTTTATAAAGTCTTATAAAAGCCAATAAGGCTTTTTTATAAAGTCTTATAAAAGCCGATAAGGCTTTTTAGGGCCATAGTTATCCACTTTGGGGTCATTATATGACATGACATCGTAATCCAGTGTCATGTCAGCGGCCGCTTGACATGAACGTCAGGTGGTAAGAACAGCCCATCTTTCTTCTTCAGGTCCTGCCAATCTAACCCGCCCAGAAAAAAAGTGCAATCTCTCAAAATCAGCTGTTCAAAATCAATCTCAAAATCAATCTCAAAATCTCTCAAAACCATCTGACAGCTTTACTGATATCGAGCCGAGCGGAGAGCACGCTGGACTTGTGATCCTGTGGTCCCGAGTTCGATTCCGGGCACCTGGGAGAAACAATGGGCAGAGTTTCTTTCACCCTATGCCCACTGTTACCTAGCAGTAAAATAGGTACCTGGGTGTTAGTCAGCTGTCACGGGCTGCTTCCTGGGGGGTGGAGGCCTGGTCGAGGACCGGGCCGCGGGGACACTAACCCCCGAAGTCATCTCAAGATAGTCCCCCAGTCCTCCCCCACCATTCCTCCCTCACCCGTCTCCTCGGCCTCCCCAACATTCCCCACTCCACTATCCCCCTCTTCCTCCCCACCATGCCCCACTCCCCCCTGTCCCTTTGTCCTCCCCACCATTCTCCATTCCCCCATCCCCTCGTCCCCACCATCCCAAACTCTCCCGTCCCCTCGTCATCCCCACCATTCCCCACTCGTCCGATGCCTTCCCAAATGGCCTGATGTTCCCATCAGAAAATTGGGAACATCAAGCGATCTGATAATATAAGAAAAAACAGTTAAGAAATGAAATGAAAATATGAAAAAATAAAATAATAAACAATACTTACGAAATGAACGGTAAGGTAAACAACACAGCTCAATTCCAACACAATGTCACACAAAATAATTCAATAAAAAATAAAATAAATCGAAATCTCTGCAAATAAAATTTATCAATGCAATCGGAAAGATTGCTGCTATGGCGGTATGTCCACTCACAAGATGAGTGGCGCTGCCCAATTAGCTCGCTCCTTGGGGAAAAAAAAAATTAAAATGGAATTCGTGACATATTTAGTATAGCGTGCATGTTGCTATTATGTGCAACAGATGGCGCTGTTTATCAGAAAACGCATGTTTTTTCCTGTCACAGGTGAGGCATGTATATAGTAGATACATAAAAACACGCGCCTATTTGTATACACCGTTGAGTCAAAATTTCAAAGCAATCGGTAAAGAGGTTTCGAAGATTTCTCTCACATGAAAAACACATGAAAAAAAACTGTTTTCAGAAAAAGCATTTTTTTTTTTTGCCGTCTGAGACGTGACATGTATATAGTATATATATATAACCTGGCCGGATGCGTATGAAACATTGTGTA